AGGAACTCTCTTTCTTTTTTCTCCATAGTGCTGAATTTTTTTTATTTTAACAGAATAATGCCCCCTGCGTTATCCATCACAATAACACTATTCTATTTTAATTTTGGTAAAACATTAAAAAGTATTATTCTTTGACTTCGTCCTATATATTCCTCACATTTATTTTTTAGGACAGAGGGTTGGTCTGTCCACAATGTGGACTCCACATTGTTTATATTGTCCCTCAAAAATTACAGATTATTTTTCTTTGGTTATGTTAAGGGATTTTACTGTAATCGACTTACCTGTTGTTCAGTAACAAATTATTAATAAAACCAAAAAATCACAGAACATCATAAATTAACAAAATAACATTTTTTTACGATAACAGCTGATATTACTGCCGCCATTTAAAACAAATTGAATGCTACGTTGCCAATGTGCGATGAGTCAAACCTTCTGAAAATAAATATTCTTTTTATAATTAAAATATTTTTAACAATTTGACAGCAAAAGCTATTATACTATTATGTCAGTTTATAAATTTGTTATTAGAAACCATGGCAACGCTGTATAATAAAATATTCAGTGTATGGGGGTTTTCAATCGTCCGAAAAAAATGTTTTTTCCGCGAAATTTTGTAAATTAAAAGAGGACAAAAATTGTTCGTGTACAGCAAAAAAAAATTTAATATTGCTCACCAATGTTAATAATTTCAATGTATACTTGGTTGGCTATTAAACTTTCGTTAATATCTTACAACATTGCTTTAAATCTAAAAGTTCTTGTCAAAAATTTTTGTTTTAAATCCCCTTCATATTTAACTTACTTGATAACTCAGTTACATTCCCATCATATTTTTGGGCCAGTATCTAATTTATTTTCGTCTTATCGCCTGAAATTTTATTAGCAGACGTCTCCAAGACATTTTGCTTTAGAAAAAACTAAAGTGTTTGATAAAAATTACATCATAAATTCAAACTTCGTTTACCCAACTTTTTTACTAAATTTTATGCACTAAAAGCCGCAAAAAGTTTATTTTATTTATTTTGATGAAAAAGTAAACACATCAGCAGGTAATTGTTTTCGTGTTTATGAAATGTGAGCACACGTAATGCACTAATTAGAGGTATTTAGGTAATTATAAATGGAAAATATTATTTTATTCGTAAAATGAATAACAAAAATTAATTTTGCGTCTGAAAACAAAATACAGTGTGTCCCAAAAGTCGCGTACCACCTTGAAGGTATGTGATCTACAGACCCCCAAAAGCAATTCAAAAAAATTGTTAAAAAAATCTACCTTTATTATTTAAAAAGATATGAAAACGTAAACACCGATTTTTTTAACTTTTAAAATTAATAGGGTTACCTTGTTTATAATGTTTTAAGTTTTAATATACAGAATGTTATTCCATTACTAATAAGGATAGTACATTTTAAAATATTATGTTGCCATTTTAAATATAAAATATTTTAAAATCGAATATTTTTATATGTTAACAATTAAAAATTGTAACATATTTATTGTACTTTTTAATATACAAAAATGTTATGAGAAATAATTGAACCTACACCTCGCCAAAGTTTTTTGTTTTGAGTGCGTTCCATCAACTTCAAATACCGACAGACAGGTGTTTTGGGTATCATCAGTGTCGACACGACAATGTCGAGCAACTTGTAGTAGTGGAACACACCCAAAACAAAGAAATACCTGAGCTTATATAACATGGTTGGTAAGCCAACAAAGGCGAGATGTATGAACATCACGTGATCCACACCGTCTAACGACGCGTCGCGACGTGGCCTTTGCCGCAATCGGTACATACTATGCAACCCAGTAGGTTCAATTCTTTCCTATAAGTATTACCAGTAATGGGTCAAGAAAGTTTATTGAAGAAACCAAGAAAATTGAATGTTTAAAATGTCATGAGTTACTATATTGTATATTATATTTAAATATATTGTTTATTTACCTTAAACATAAAGGCATCTTTATTTTTACTATATTTTTTATTAATGTGTAATATATTATATAATTAGATGTACAGTGTACACCTTACATTTGATTAAATTATATAGTAAATATTACTATTTGTAGATCTTAATATTGTATTGAAGAATTTATAATATTGTTACCCTAAAAATTTGTTAAAGTAAATTTTACTATATTTTTTTTACTATCTAAAATTTACTATACATTTCTCTCCGTGTAGATACAATAAATACACATTTTAGTAATGATAAACGTGAAAAGTGTAAACATTTCGATTTAGTAAAAATCGTCAAACAAATAAGTCGTTTAAATTTAAACAGCATTTAGAATTATTAAAAGGGTTGATTAAGAAAGTCTCCAATCAACGGTAAAATACCATTATATTATGTATTAAATATAATATTATGTTGCCATGAATTCGTAGGTATATTTTGTTGTTTAAAATGCAGTTGTCGGCGTTTTTTAGAGAACTCAAATATAAAAATGGTTGATTTTAAGGTTATGTTTGTGCAAAAATTATTTTTAACTAATTTCTTAAAAATGTCCAAACTTATATATAAATTATATTAGGTAAAGTCATCATTAGTTAATTCTGCACCAACAAATGTTCTTACCGAATTGGATACTAGATACCGAACGTAACTAGATAGTATAGGTATAAGCATTTAAGTGTTGAGTTTCTTAATCAATGATATAAAGAATAATCAAAATCGAGTACTAAAATAGTTTTTTAATTTTTTCCTTGCAACGTAAAACACAAATAACGTGCGCGATTTAGCTGTTCAATTGAACAAAATTTGTCATTACTTCTGCCTTCCTCTCTTTTGTGAAAAACTACCTATTTATTTAAATATGATGTACAGTTCGTGTGCTTTAAATGTAAGTCCACCAGATGGCGCGCGCGTTGCGAAAACCCTTCTTTAGCGTATTTGTTTTGACATTTGTTGCAAATTCAGTATATATTATAACATTTGTAACTATATAAAAAATCCTATATAGTTACAATGGAACAAAACATGCGAATTAAGATAAGGCAGCTAGACTTTGCTTAAGCAATGTTAATTTGTTTTGCAAACGGAATAGACAATCGTTGTGAATTTTTTTATGACATAAGGAAGGAAGCTTCCCAATAAAATGTTACAGATATTGAAATAAAACGTAAATCCGACAACATTGCATCGAGGCTAGGCATGAATAATCAAAAATCGTGGAATTGATTTTAGGCATCTGTCACTTTTAGTAGAATAGTAGGTATCTGTTACTAAAAATTTTCGGGGTTGCTAATAATGCGTTTAATTTAAATTACCTAATTTGTTTAGGTTTAGGTTCAGTAAAATAAAATTGTTTAACGTTTTTGCATTTAACATTATATTATAATTATAATTTTCAATAGATCCATTTAATCCATTAAATTTTGTTTTGTTTGACGGATTCAATTTAATTATTTCGAGTTAATTGGGCAAAACATTCGATGTACTCGGACATTCCATTCACGTATTAAAATTATTTTAGAACGTTTTGTACTACCCAAGTATCACAACTAGATAAATAACTAGCTTCTAAGTAAATTAAACAAAATCTAAGTAAAATAACGGCTTTTTAACCAATTAGTTGTACTCAACCATTAACATTTATTTAAGGTTACTATAAACTAAAAAATAACACTTAAATTTATCAACCAGTTTCAAAGATTATTTTTTAGTATAATTTAACTAATAAAAGAAACCTATTGGTAATATTACTAACTAGTTAAATATTTGGTTTATTTATAGTCAATTTAAACTCTTTAAATAAAAAACACGTTTAAAAAATAACTTTTAGGGAATTTTTTTAAGTAAATTAAAAATATGCTGTTAAAGACCGTATTTTTCTTAGTATACCCTGAAAATTTTGTGCAAATCAAACGGACAGTAACGAATATACAGCGCTTCAAAGTCGGTAAAAATGACCCCTTTTTGATTATTTTGCTGAAAAGTGCTTTATTTTCATTAGGTACTGTTCGTTTGATTTGTACAAAATTTTCAAAAATACGTAATTTCACAGCATATTTTTTATTTACTTAAAAAAATTCCCTGTTAAAGTTTTTTTCGAGCGTTTTTTTATTATTAAGGATATTTTTTCGAAAAACCCTTAAACGCGTAAACTGTAAAACTGTAAACGTATACGTTAAAGTATTTTTGTCCAAAATTTTATAAAGATTGGTAAAGGCGTTTTAGATTTTTTTTTACTTATAGGTTGTGAGTTTTGTGGAATAATGGAGCCTAAAATGACTTTTTTCAAATTAATACATATAGTGTGACCCATTTGTTTGCGACTCACCCCTGTTAAAAATTTATTTATTGTGCGATTTTAACCGCATTTATAAATATATTTTAAAGTGCAGATCTTGATAAACTGTATTTTTGAAGCATATTTGTACAAAATACAAGGCCTACTATTTCAGTTTTTAAAAGCAAATTTTTAAGAACTTATATTAGCGATTTTTTTAAACAAAATCTAAGCACGGCACTGGATTCACCACCCCTTAAAACGACCCTTTACTAAATTTTATTGAAAAATTATAAGTTTAAAATTGCACAATAATAACTACAAAAATTTATTCTGTCAAGTAATCCATGAAAAAAACATTGAAACAAAATTAAACTTATAGTAATAGTAACATGTTAAGTATACTAATACTTAACATATATGTTAAGTATTAGTTAAATTTTATTTCAATGTTTTTTTATTAATAACTTGACAGAATAAATTTTTGTAGTTATTATTGTGCATTTTTCTACTTAAAATGCTATTTATTTTAATCCAAAAATAGGGTAATCTAAATAAACCATTATTAAAATTTAGTTTTATTTAATCCCTTAATCCCTTAATTATTTAAAACAAAACAATAAATGCTAAAACTTCTATACCTAAAATTGCATATAAATATTACCTTATCAAAGTACACCACATAAACACATCACAGTGTACATCGAGAGCATCACAAATGTCTTTCAATTATTATACAACTGTACCATCGAACACCATGCAGAATCAAGAACAGGTTACCAACAGCCCGGAGCAAAATGTTCCCAACTTCTTCGAATCATGGACCAAAAACGAAGATGAAATTAACAATTTCTTCACGAATTTGATGTACGATGATAAACAATCAGTCAACAATTTTAATTACGGAGTCACACAAAAAAGTAACCATGCTGCAAATGATGTTAACGTTAACAACGGTTATTACTTCAATGGGGAAAACTTGCTGCCCAACGAGAGACCGACATACATCCCCATTGAACAGTACATAGAGCCGAACCAGACCCTCCCAACGCTTGGGGAATACTTACCGCAGAATGAGGAGCAGATCCCCAATCTCATTGTGGAACGGGCTACAGCCCCAGAATTACCAGCGAAGTTTAAATGCCCGTTTTGCGATAGATCCTTCACGAAAGTTTGCTACCTATCTCAACATGTGAACGCCCAGCACAACGACCAAAGGCAGTTCAAATGTTCAAAGTGCGGAAAGAAGTTCGCATCGCAGGAAACTCTGGCTTTACACGCGGAAAAACATCAAGGCGACAAACCGCACAAGTGCAGGGTTTGCCCCAAGCAATACAACTTCAGGTCCGACTTAAACAGGCACATGTTCGTGCACGACAGAAGGAACAGCCCTTACATTTGCACGTCTTGCGGGAAAGGTTTCGCGAGGAGAGATCATTTCAAGAATCACTGCCTGAGCCACGAAAGAAAAGCTGCCTTGTATAACGTTAGAAGAAACATGAACCAACAACAGTTTTAGTATACTTGTATATTTAATTTGACTCAGCTACTATTTTGTACTTTTTATCCGAATAAAATAATTATTTACTTTATTTCTTCTTTTTTTTGCTTATTGACCTCACAGTTGTTTTAGTTTTCTTATTTCTAAGAAACCATGATAAACTTACATTTTACCGTCTCCATAGGGACGAGAAAGTTGTTGTTTTTGCGTCTAGCCTTGCAAAACACACAAATGGCCAGGCATATTTTATTGTGTTTAATTTAACTACTTTATTTACCTATCAGTAATTTATAACTCTTTGGTGAGGGGACTGTTTTAAGATTTGTATTTTTTTTTAAATTATTTCTTTTAGTCTCCATTATCACTAGGGTGATTCAAAAAAACCTTTTTTTTGTTTTTTTTTCTCGGAACCACGCTCAAAAGTTTCGTGTAGATATAAAAATGAGCCTGCGAAAAAATGAGCTCTTAATTTCAAAATTAAGATGCTCCGCATCGCACTTTTCGATTTTCCATAAGAATAACATAGGAAAAATTATTTTTGTTTCTTTTTATTTTTGTAACTAACGTACTGTAAAGGTTTCCTATGATTTTTTGATAAATTTGATCCTTCTAAAGAAATTTAAGGTCAAAGTTCAAATTATACAACATTTTAGGGTTTTTTAACTTTTTTGGCGAGTCTATCCGACTCATTTAAAAAATTTTGAAATATTTTTGTAGAGTATTGAACGCTGTTTTTCCGAATTTCCAGAGCTCAAAAACAATATTTGGATTCGTTTTTAGCCCTTTGAAATAAAAAATCCAGAAAAAATTCGAGAAAACGACTAAATTGACGGTTAATTTCACTTTAACCTTGAATAACTTTTAACCAAGTTAACCGAAAAATGACTAGACCTTTTTTGTAGAGCTTTCAATTCTTTGAGTCGGGTAGACTCGCCACAAAAGTTAAAAACCCCAAAAATTTCGTATAATTTGAACTTTGACCTTAAATTTCTTTAGAAGGATCAAATTTATAAAAAACCTTTTTAGTAGAGCGTTCAATTTTATACAAAAATATGTCAAGAACTTTACAGTACGACCTATTTTTCGTTAGTTACAAAAGTAAAAAGAAACAAAAATAAGTTTTCCCATGTTATTCTTATGGAAAATCGAAAAGTTCGATGCGGAGCATCTTAATTTTGAAATTAGGAGCTCATTTTTTCACAGCCTCATTTTTATATCTATACGAAATTTTTAAGCGTGGTTCCGAGAAAAAAAACAAAAAAAAGGTTTTTTTGAATCACCCTAATTATCACACAAAACTCACAACCTATACGTTTATATATAAAGTCTTATTAATGGCCCGATTCTGTGCAACCTATAAGCAAATCTGTAACTTTTCTATAAGCTTCTAAAAATTTAATAGCACAAAATAAAAAAAATAAAATCTATTAAAAGTAAAGTTTATTATTGTATAAATCTTTTTAAATATTTATTTATATATAATAGGTAATATTAAATTGTTTATAAGCCTATAGAAAAGTTACAGATTTGCTTACAGGTTGCACAGAATCGGCCCATAAGACTAATTTTTCTATGCAGGTAACAATGAAGACTGCAAAACCATCACTTTTTTAACAAGTTTATTAATTAATGTTAATTTATTAGCCAGTTTAAATATATAAAGTATAACTTGCTGGTTAAAAAAATATACCCAAATTAACCAAAGTTATGGTTAATTTACCAAAAAGTAATATCAAAGGTTAAACTAAACCAAACTATGTTTAAAAAATAACTAGTATTAACCATTTTCAAAAGTTAAAATTGGAAGTTAACATAAGGTTATGTAAATTCTAAAATAACCTACTTTTTAACTTATAAGTAATATTACTAACTAGTTTGGTTTGGTAATTTAAGCTTATTTTAAAAGTATAAATTAACTATAAATAAACCAAATATTTAACTAGTTAGTAATATTACAAATATGTTTCTTTTATTAGTTAAATTGTACTAAACAATAACCTTTCAATTCACCTTAAGGTTATAGAAACCGGTTGGTAAATTTAAAAGGTTATTTTTTATTTTAAAGTAACCTTAAAAATATGTTAATTGTTAAATACTACAAAGAGATCAAAGTCAAAAATCGTAAAATAGAATATTATAGGGATTACTAGGATTTAAATTGCAGAAATAATATTTCCTTTCAAACGAAGCTTTTAAGTATCATAAAGGATTAAAAAAACTTGTATAAACGTCAACATTTTATCTGGGTATAAATTACTGAGATTAAACCACAAAACTATGACTCACTTATATCACAATTAACATAACTTAGTTGTAAACAGTTTTCCATATTATATATAAAAACACAATATCTGAATGAAACAAAAAATCAAGATTTATGCAGTGTTTGGATCACGGGACTAACGACCCATTAAATTTCATTTTTACGATCAAGTTATTTCTGGTCCAACGTGTTTATCGATTGGGTTAATCGCTTTATCCGTGACGGAAATGTCATAAATTCGACAAATTATGATGTTTAAGCAAGAAATTAAAGATTCCGAAAAATGTCCCTTTCAAATAAATATATTTATACCAATACACTTCACCTTTTACTTAATAAATGATAATTTTAATTTATTTTGTGATCTTTTAAATGCACATTGACAAGCTATGGCTTTATGGCGCTTTAGTCACGGGCTGAAGTTAGTTTTAAGACATTAAGTTGTCAAATGCCATACAATCGTTAAAATAAAGTGCATTTCTTGTAAAATAATACTAAATGTGAAATAGTTATTTATGTCATTAGGTTAAGAAGTAAGGCTTTTTGTGCTAAGCTCAAGGTTTGAAGGCCGACGCGTAGCGGAGGCCTCCAATTGAGCGAAGTACAAAAAGGCACTTCTTGGCCGAATGGCATACAACATTTTATCTTCAAAGCACTTTATATAGGTCAATTTAATTCAACATCAAAGCGGCCTAACCTCACTTTTTTAGAATCTCATTTATTTATTAGCTAAAGATTACATTAAATGTACAATAATTATTATTGCTTTTAGAAGCAGTAATAGTTTGACAATACCTAGCAACATGATTTAAGTAGAAATGGATTTTTGCTATTACATTGAATTCAATTAATTGTTTAATAAATAGGTAGGTATCTAATTTCAATTTGTTTGGATTTTTATTTAAAAAATAGGTAGTTTGGAATGTTTAAGCTGTGTTTAACATTTAATTTCACTGAAAACTTAAAGTAAATTAAAACTTAAAGGTAATTTAAATCGTAGAAAAAGAATCGTGCGTTTTCTTGGTTGCCTAACCTCACTTTTTGTTTTATTATTCATATTTAGTTTTACAATAATTTAATGAAACATATTAAACATTAACAGTTAAACAAACAAATTAGTGCTTATTATAAATAAATTAAACCAGTTTAGTACCTTAATTTCTTAGAAAAGGATTAATTTGTCAAAACAATACCCCTAGCGAGAAAAATACGAACTAATTACTTGCCTCATAAAAATTTTTATCGGCGTAGGCCATAACAAGGTATTTCTTTATCGAGTTTAAATTACAGACTGCGTGGAGATAAAAGTATTAAATATATAGTTTCTTGACGCCAATATTTGAAAAGATTATATGAACGTTTGGACTGACCTTTTGATTTCGCCGTATACTATAGTAGTGCAGTTAACTAGATTTAACTGATAAAGCGTTACAAATTTTTCGTACTGTGCCCATAAAACATTCTCTTCTCTTTTACTGTGAAAAACTGCTTCTATATAGATTGTTAGTCTATTTTCAAGGGATAAATTTTGATTTACACAGAAAAATTTGAGATTTTAACACTGGTACATTCCCAAGTTAGAAATTCCAACGGGAATTCCAATAAATACAACTTTTTGTACTTTTAACATTTTCCGTGTAAGAATTTTTAATATTTTGTGATAATATTTTGCAATTATAGAAGGGTGAATTTTCAAAAGGAAAATTTTTCACAGACAAATTTAATACAACTAAAAATTTAATAATATTTAAAGAGGCTTTTAAATTAAATTCGAAACAAAATAGATTCGTTATGTTTAATTACAAACAATTTCATTTTATTGAAATTATCACAATCAATATTGCATCGTGTTTCCAGAAAATAAATTATCGATATGGTAAATTGTTAATGATGCCCACTTCAGATCCCGAACGGTTTTGGATTGGTTTCAAATGTCATCGAAAATTGGCCAGTGTTGGCCATTGATTTTGATTTAGCCACCTTTAATTTGTACGTCCAGTTCCGAAGTATTGCAATGCGATGGAACGATCGAAATATACAGGGTGATTCACCTAACTTATTCGTTATTAGAAGTTTAATGTAAACTATTTTTTAAAATTATTTCCAATGCGTTTTCACTTCTTGTTAAACCGGAAGTGATATCAGCTTTAGATTTTCGAATGGAAGGATATAAATATTATTGAATTTTTAAATTTCTTCGTAAAATTCTAGAAATACTAAAATTTTATTATTTTTTGATTTTTTAAAGTTTTTGAGGTATTAAATTTTTTTTTTTAAATTTTGCCTATGGATCATCTTACTAATATGGTTGTATTACCACCAGAGCTGGCCAAGTACTGAGTACTTTTACTCGTATTTCAATTACGAGTAAAAAAGTACGAGTTAAAATTTTCAGAATAAGGGGCCGTTCATAAATGATGTCACACGTTTTTTTAATATTTTTGACCCCCCCTCCCCCACTTGTCACAAAGTGTCACAAATTATGGGACCCTCCCCCACGAAATTTTTGCTTAAAATAAAATCTTAATATCCAGTTTATAACCATTATTAATTATTAAATTCCAAAATATTTTTATAATTTTGTGACATCACAACCTCCCAAACCCCCCCACCCCCGGCTGTCACAAACTGTCACATTTTCGACGCATAATATTTTTCCAAAAATATCTAGACCACATCCTGTACGGACGCCACTGGTAAAAAAAAATAAAAAATCTTCTACATCAAAAACTTACTATTAATGCTTAGAAGGAGTGTGCCAAATTTTATTAAAATATCTAGGAAGTTATTAAAGTTATGATAAAAAAACGATTTTTTTCATAAAATTTTAACACCCTGTAACTCAAAAATTAAGAGCTTTAGGTCATAGGTTTATTTGAACTTTTTTTCTTAAAATCAACTAAGGATTCACACCCTTAAGGTTCAGCATCTTATTCTGAAACACCCTGTATAGTATAATATAATATATATAAATTTAATAACAAGTAAATAGGTAAAATTATAAACTATTTAAGAATTGTTATTATTTTATGTACATAATGTTTAAAATAGATAATTTTATAAATTTGTGTTTGTATTTTTATAGCTCAGAACCAAAGTGTGTATAATGTACACTCTCTAAAAATGAATTAGTCAAAAATGACTAATTACCACAGTTATTGATGGAAATTAGTGAAAATACCGTCAAAAATTAAGAAAGGAGCAGTTTTTTAGATATAGTCAATTCCATATTATATGGAAAATGGACTATATCTCAAAAACTGTTCTACTTTTATAACTTTTGATGACATTTTCGGATTCAGGGAACAATTTTACATGGAAATTGACTGCTAAATGTTAAAAATACAAATTGCTATTGACGAGAATTATTAGTGGCTGCTTTTTCGCTATGACAATTAATCATTTTTGACTAACCCATTTTTAGAGAGTAAAGAATAATCAATTATAATAACTAACTTTTTTTTTTCAAAAGTACTCGTACTCTTTACTCGTGTTTTCACGATTAGTACTCGTAACCGTAACCTCTCTTTACAATATACTTACGAGTAAATATTTTAAGTACTCGTACTTAAAATTTTACGAATACTTTTTTTAGTACTCGTGCCCAGCTCTGATTACCACTAATTGTGATGTTAAAAAGTTTATTTTTGGTGTACCTGTTAACTAACATATTAGGAATACCATCGATCTGTCAAAGTTTTTGAAAAAAATTAAAAATCTCAAAAATTGTTCAAGATAAAAAATAATCAAATTTTAGTATAGCTAGAATTTTAGGTAGAATATAAAAATGCAATAATACACTCACAGGCAAAATAATCGATCCACACAAATTTTCGATGAATTTCAATCGCAAATAACTTTTTTATTTGATTTCGGATTTAAACAAATATTAAAGAATATTGTAGATACATTAATGGAGAATCGCTCACATTTTAAAAATTACTAAAAAATACACGTACGTTTATAATATACAGGTTTAAACAAAAAGATGTTTTTTACCATAAGTCGGAGACATATTCATTTTTTAAAGTAAGAAGGCACCTCAAAATTTAAACATTAATTTGCTAAAAACAATTTGATAGCTTTTGAAAGCCGTGTATGACATGTCCAAGTATGGGATGATTCAACAAAACTTTCACTGTCATTCTCCATAACCTATGAATGGACCATAGCAACGTTAGTTCTTCATACAGAAAAATATTGGAAATAGCAATGTTTTTTTAAAAAATTCATATTTTTCACAAAAATAAATATATCGAGGTAAACCAAAAACAAAACTGTTTAAAATAGATGTGACTTGATAAATAAAACTTAATTTAAAACAATGCCACTCTACAGAGTGTCTTAAACTTATGGTAAAAACATATTTTTGTTTAAACCTGTATATTATAAACGTACGTCTATTTTTTAGTAATTGTTTAAAATATAAGCGATTGTCCATTAATTTATCTACAATAATGTTTAATATTCGTTTAAATCCGACATCAAATAAAAAAGTTATTTGCGATTGAAATTCATCGAAAATTTGTGTGGATCGATTATTTTGCCTGTGAGTGTATTATTGAATTTTTAAATTTCTTCGTAAAATTCTAGAAATACTAAAATTTGATTATTTTTTAATTTTTAATTTTTTTCAAAAATTTTGCCTATGGATCATTTTACTAATATGGCTGTATTACCACTAATTGTAATGTTAAAAAGTTTATTTTTGGTGTAACTGTTAACTAACATATTAGTAATACCATCGATATGTCAAAGTTTTTGAAAAAATGAAATACCTCAAAAATTGTTCATAGTAAAAATTAATCAAATTTTAGTATTTCTAGAATTTTAGTTAGAATATAAAAATGCAATAATATTTGAAAAACGAAAGTTGATATCAATTTGAATCTAACGTAAACCTTGTTATAAAACGAAATTTTTCATACACGTCCTTACAAGTAGATTCCAAATTAATTACATTTTACTTAAGGGATTTTATAAAACATAATCCTCCATTAAATAAGTATTTACGAAAAAAACAACTTAAATTAGATTAAAATTACACAATTAATTTTACCTATGATATTGCAGCAAATTGCATAGTGCACTGGAGGATTAAAGTATCTATACCTCCACGATTTAATTTATTTATATATACAGACGCAAGGTCTATTCTATTAGTTATTAAGAAATAGTACTACAGATAACAATGGATTACCAATATCAAGGTTTCAACTACGAGAGCTACCCTGGGGGTAGTGCTGTGGTGGAACACCCTCCTGACGAGCAGTACAACTTTTACACCGCTCTAATAAAAACCGAGGAAAAACCCGAGACGTACGTGTACGAACAGAATAATTTCGTGATAAACGGTGAGAGCGACAACCAGGAGTCGTGGTATTCCCCCACGTCTAGCAGCAGCGATGTTCCTGAAGAAGAGAGATGCAACTTGCAAGAGTTGACAACTGTGGTGCCACAGATGAGCGCGAATGTTATACCGCAGGAGAATTACGCCTATAACAACATAGTTTACGCCGCTCCTGACAATTTAAATGGCGCGCAATACATGCTGCCATCTGTATCGTACGTGCAACCACAAACCTACACCACCTATGAAGCACCATACATGAACCAGTACGTGGCACCTATGGTAACCAACGAACAAGTCTTAACCCCGCAAAATTCGGAACCGCAAGGCGATCTAGTGACCCAACCTTACTCCTCAGAAGAATCCAACGCCTCCGAATACTTCTCTGCATACGAGCAACCCATCGAAGATAGCGAGTCGGAGAAGTTCAAGTGCGCGAAGTGCAACAGAACTTTCACGAAGGCCTGCTACCTAACGCAGCACAAAAACGCGCAGCACAACGACAAGAAGCTCTTCAAGTGCGGCAAGTGCGGTAAGAAGTTTGCTTCGCAAGATATCCTGGACGAGCACTCTGAAAAGCATTCGGAAAACAAACCGCACAAGTGCACCATGTGCAAGAAGCAGTACAACTTCAGGGCCGACTTGACCAGGCACATGTTCGTGCACAACAAAAAAAACAGCCCTTTTGTGTGCACCGTGTGCAACAAAGGCTTCGCGCGGAAAGACCACTTGAAAAATCATTACCTCGTGCACACCAAAAAAACTGCTGTCAAGGTTAGGTAAACTAACGTGTGTTTTAAGTTTGATATGATGCTTTACTTTTGTGTTTTAATTTTAGCAACTCGTAAACTAATGTGTGATTTAAGTTTGATATGATGCTTTACTTTTGTGTTTTAATTTTAGCAACTCGTAACTAAATAATGACTGTTTTTATTGTAATTAAGGTAGATGCTATGAATAAAAGTTTTAAGAGATTATACTGTTTGTACAAATAACTTACCTACCACAACCTATTATATAATATATATGGCCTTTAAAGGCCACAATATTTTTACGAAATAAGCAACAATTATCCATGGTTGCAAAACCCTTGGTGCTTGGAAAAAAGCAAGAAACAAAGGAAGCAAATTCTTCCAAACGTGCTGGGAGAGGACAAAAAGTAAAATAGGAGAAAATCTTCAATGGAAACCTTGGAAGAATTTGAAGTTAAGGATGTGTAAATAAAGGAAGAATTTAACATTGAAGATGTAAATGTGGAAGTGAAGAAAGAATTTGATATTGAGGATGTAGAAATTAATGAAGAATTTGACATTGTTTCCTGATTTTTAACTTAAATATTGTAATTTTATATTTAAATTATATAAATGTAACACCAAAAAAACTGCTGTCAAGGTTAGGTAAACTAATGTGTGGTTTAAGTTTGATATGATGCTTTACTTTTGTGTTTTAATTTTAGCAACTCGTAAACTAATGTGTGATTTAAGTTTGATATGATGCTTTACTTTTGTGTTTTAATTTTAGCAACTCGTAACTAAATAATGACTATTTTTATTGTAATTAAGGTAGATGCTATGAATAAAAGTTTGTAAAAGACTATTTCCCTCTTCTTAATTTCCACCAATCACAAACGCGCAATTTTGAATTACAAATGGTTTCAGGTGACTATTTCCCTCGTCTTAATTTCCACCAATCACAAACGCGCAATTTTGAATTACAAATGGTTTCTAGGTGAAAAAACTGTGTGACAGCACCTGTCAGCAGTTTTTTCGAGTTTACCCGCGGCAAAACTTGACAGCTGTTGTCACCAAAAATTGCAATTTATATTTTAATTGTTAACTGTTACTCATGAAATAGTCTTGTCAAATACCATTCGGGCATCTAATTTTTCCTGTGAAAAAAATCGAAAAAACACAATGCTAAGTAATATTTTTTAACAAAATGCATTCGTGCAGGTGCAAAAATCCTCCTCTTCGACTCGGATTTTTGTTGCCACCAGCACTCATGCTTTTTGTTAAAATATTACTTAGCATTGTGTTTTTTCGATTTTTTTCGGAAAAATTAGATGCCCTCATGATATTACTTACGATTAAACTGTTTGTACAAATAACTTACCTACCACAACCTATTATATAATATAGGCCACAATATTTTTACCCCGAAATAAGCAACAATTTTTCATGGTTGCAAAACCCTTGGTGCTTGGAAAAAAGCAAGAAACAAAGGAAGCAAATTCTTCCAAATGTGCTGGGAGAGGACAATAAGTAAAATAGGAGAAAATCTTCAATGGAAACCTTGGAAGAATTTGACGTTAAGGGTGTGGGAATAAAGGAAGAATTTAACATTGAAGATGTTAATGTGGAAGTGAAGAAAGAATATGATATTGAGGATGTAGAAATTAATGAAGAATTTGACATTGTTTCCTGATTTTTAACTTAAATATTGTAATTTTATATTTAAATTATATAAATATAACAGTTAATAGCCTTTTTAGTTATTTAACACTTGGTGTAAAACGTGAAATCAATCAAAATGCTTACTCTCGAGCAAAATATATGTATTGTACAATGCTATAGGTTGGGGCAAATTAGCTAAAAGCATGATGACATTTTAGATTTATTTTTGTACTGAGGTTTATAATACGCTAAATAAGCATCGCTAGTAGCGCCACCAGGTCGTTATCATCGTAACCAGAATATGTTACAAACGAGTGTTTTTGAGAATAAAGCCGGAAAATGTTAAAAATATCAACAAAAAACGTGGCACGATTTGTTGTGTTGTTGGGTATTTTTAGACAGGAAATCCTGGGTTGAGTTTTTACCGGCTTTCCGAAAAACAGTGGAAATCCGAATGAATAAACAAATTACAGTCCCTGTAAATATAAATTCTATAGAATAGTAGGTATACCTATTAGATAAAATAAATACACATTTTAGTACCTAATGATTTACGTGTAAATTATTAACATTTTGATTCAGTAATAATCATATATGATAAAGTCGCATGCATTATTAAAAGCGTTGATTAAGAACTGTAAAATACCAAGAACCGGTATTATATTATGGGGCATTCCACGTTACTCGTAATTTTTGTCCCGCCCGTCACATTTAAAAATTGTGAATAAAAACCACAAGTTATTAAATTAATATTTTATAATATTATTTTTATTGTGCTTATAACTTATTAAAAGCATAATATACAATATTTTAAAATAAATTTTATAACGTGTATTTTTTACTCACAATTTTTAATTGAGACGGGCGGGACAAAAAGTAACGTGGAATGACCCTTATGTATTATATTATATATATATATATATATATATATATATATATATATATATATATATATATATATAATTTATATATAATATTATGTTGCCATGAATTTGTAGGTATACTTTGTACTTTAAAATGCAAATGCAGGACTCAAATATAAAAATATTCGATTTTAAGGTTATGGTTGTAAAACAATTATTTTTTGTTAGACTTCGTAAGAATGTCTAAACTTAAATTTAAATTATATTAGGTAAAGGTAGTTAATTCTGCACCAAAAAATATACGTATTGGATCGTTTGGCAAAACATGAAAATGCAACGATTTAGTTCTTGAATTACATTTACAAGTAAAAACACAATAATCACTTAGATAAAATATACACTCTAACATATGAGCATTTAAGCGTTGAGTTTCTTAATCAATGATATAAGGAATAATCAATCGAAATCGAGAACTAAAAAAGTTTTTTAATTTTTTCCTTGCAACGTAAAACACAAATAACGTGCGCGATTTAGCTGTGCAATTGAACAAAATTTGTCTAGTAAGACTTCTGTCTTCCTCTTCTTTGTGAAAAAACCTTTATTATTTAAAAATTACAGATTGAAGAATTTAATGTAGAAAATGCTTTATCAAAGGAATATGCCTCCTAACTTTGTTCATATTAAAAAATATAAAAATAAATATCATTTGTACGATAACAAAATAAATTACACAAGTCTTGCTCAATAAATAAATAAATAAATAAGGATTGCCTAAAAGGCACAATGGGCAATATCCTTTAAGTTTAATCTGACCAAGAACATTTAAAGGAGTCCCACAGGAGTTCCTGGATCATTGCTTTGACCATCCTGCTATAATACTGCTTAATTATTCAGTGGTTTTGTTTCTTGGTCTCTGCTTTCTACGATTCTTGAATAAACGTATACAAGAGATTAAGAGCGAATCCAAAAACCAAAAAAAAAATAATTAAATTTTAAAAATAGCCTGTAAAGACTAGATTAATAAATAATTTACCTGAACCATTTCTAAAACCCTGACAAATAGAAACAGGCAGGTAAATGTAAAACCAGTGACAGCGTTGGTATATTTTTTAGGTATAATTTCATTGTTTAAGTGTTTAAAACTATTACTTTCAAATTAAATAATTGACCTAATTGAGGTAACAAGTCGTTTTCAATTTTGCATTGTTAAGTGCAAAAAGTTTTGAACATAATTAAAGCTGACGTCATTAATACAAAACTTGTTATTTTCAAAAAAGTTTCTGGTAGTTCTTCTAGGTAAAAATCGAAATACAGAATTTTCCTCAAATTATTGAAACATTTAAATCATCAATGGTATGAGTATGTTTTTGGTGGATTTTTTTTATTAGATTTATAAAAACTTACAAAAAATTCTGCATTTTATATAGTATAGTGGATTGGTAGAAAAAAAAGTTTTATATATATATATATTATAATAGGATCAATAGAATGTCCTTCCAAATCTTCAGATCTGACACCGTTAGACTTTTTCTTATAGGGTCACTTAAAATCTGTGGTCTACAAAACTCACCCTCATTTTATTAAAGATCTGCGACAAAAAATAGTTCAAGAATGCAGAGCTATTCCACGACAAACATTTCAAAATGTTCGAAGAAAATTTGAGAATAGACTGTACTCTTGCATAAAAAATAATGGGAGTTATTTTGAGCATTTAATTAAAAAAGATTAAAATTAAAGTGTATTTTTTGTACTGTTAAAATATAAGTCGCAAAATCGCAGAGGATAATATGATATTATTTGATTTAAAATTCCTACAAATATTTTTATATTTAATTAATTTATTATCCTTCCACTCAAATTAATTCGATATTGTATAAAATTACTAAGTACGCATTCAAATAAAATGAAGCAAACAAATTAGATGATTTTATTAAACTAAATAATATTGTGAAATTTAATATTCTCATAATTAACTTTTATTCATTCAGGCTAGTATTGCACTGGTCGACAAAATTAATTTTTTTACGCATCTAAAAAACGGTTTTTATATATTATGTATTACAAGATTGGCATAAATTTAGGAAAAGATTGAGCAAGTCAAAATAAGACGAAAACCTAAATAAATATTTTTCCTAATTACTTATGTTTCCAAGATACAGGGTGATAAAGTGTTACTTATCATATCCGTTTTTTAATATAACTTCTACTATGGTATTCTTGGAAAGGTGATATTTTGCGAACAGCCACTTACTACCAAAATACATATTAACACATAATTATAATTGTTTGTGTGAACACAGTGTCGTAGAAACGGGGGTTGCTTTAAGCTTATTGTCCTATACAAACTTTGAGGTTAGGTTTTTATAATATTTTCTCAGTTCGTCTACAATTAAAAAGGTGTACCTCTCAAACTTCGATAAAATAAACCGTTTCCGAGATATTCGAGATTACAATAATTGTTATATCGCATTATTTATAAGGGTTAAAAGGTATATGATAACAATTTTTTTTTAATTAAAAAACTAAAAAGGGCATTCCATGAGCCTCGGGACTTTTTGACCTGACCATCACATTAAAAAAAATTGTAGTTTT